CATGACCCGAGCCGAAGGCAGATGCTCAATGACTGAGCCCCCCAGGCGCCCCAGGTTTCTTTTTCTTTAAAGCTTTAGAACTTTTGAGGCCTATTAATCAATCACTGTCGGTTTTTCATTTCAACTTGTATATTCATGTTTTTTGGTTCTAATTAGCATTGTCGCATATTGCTGATGCAGGTTCCTTTTACAATCACCATACTCATCTTTAAGTGAGGTTATTTCTTGCTGGACCAATTATTTACAGAAGAGTGTTGAAGATTGTCCAGAAAAATGCTCTGAGTGAATGGGAAACCCTTATCACTCATATCAGCTTCCTTTATCATTCAGGGTTTTGTATTGAGAGTTGGTTTGCCCTTTACTTCTTCCAAATCAGAGATTATCAGTTGCATGCTTCCTCTAGCGTGCAATATCCCTTCTACTCTCCTATGTCAACAGACTGCTTATATAAGAATAATGGCTGTTTGCATCTTCTTATTTAGTCCTGTCTTCCCTACCATTTGATAGGGCCAGATGAAGACCATTATGTTCCTGCCACCAGTTTCAACACATCTGGATCACGCTGTTGCAAAAAATAATTAGTTCATTCTGCGCACAGAGTGTGCCTTCTATTCAGAGGAACTCTGTTCACTGTGCTGTCTGAGATAAGAAGGAACAGCCACTATCTCCAAGTTTCTTTCCTACCTAGTCCAATCTATCCTCTGGTCTTTCTTTATTTTCTGGAATTGGAGTTTAGCTCCCTTTTAGTTTCACTGAAGATGTATTTTCTTTTTGTTTTCTTCTTCACTTTTACAGAAAGAGGACAGGACACAGAGATGTTTAATTCGACCATTTTGAAACAGGAAGTTCTCTATGCTATATTTGATCCCATGGATCACCCTTTTTGGAAATGTCTTTCCTTTTGCTCTTCTCTAAAAGATTCTGATATCCCCTCAGTTCCCGTTTATTGTTTATTTCCTGTTCCTTTAGGAAATGTCTTATATATGACTTCTTCTTTCAGCCCTTACTGGGCATTATCCAGAGCCATTCTAAATTACATATAGATCCTTTTTCCTTTATGTACCTTCATGACATAGGTGTGTTCATGCCTTTAAATCAGTATTTAACTACAGAAATGGCAACATTTAATGTCTCCAATATTTGGAAACTCTTCTCATCTTTGCCTTTAATTATGAGGGTTCTTACCTATTGTGGTTCTGTTACTTAACTTGGAGTTCGACTTCTCATAAACAGTCCCCAACACTTCTAGCCATTATAGATCTCCCCTCATCTTTGAGCTAACTTTCTAGTTTATGTTTACCAGAGTGATATGAGGTCTTTTTTTTTTTTTTAAGATTTTATTTATTTATTTGACAGAGAGAGACACAGTGAGAGAATGAACACAAGCAGGGGGAGTGGGAAAGGGAGAAGCAGGCTTCCCCTGGAGCAGGGATCCCAATGCGGGGCTCGATCCCAGAACCCTGGGATCATGGCCTGAGCTGAAGGCAGATGCTTAATGACTGAGCCACTCAGATGCCCCTCGTGTGTACTATTTCTTGAATAAATTCTCCCGAATGTGGGATATATGGGTGCTTTTTTATCTTAGCGCCTTTACGGATAAAGATTTTTTCCTTACTTCCTTATTTGAATATTGAAGTTTTTAAGTGGGGAGGAAGAGTTAGATATATGTGATCAAGTAACATTCTTTTCCAGCAATTTGTCATTAGTTTCTTGGCTTCTGTTACATTGCTGTCATGGTTTTAATTTTCATCCTCTGATTGTAAATAAAACAAACAAGAAACAGAAACCTGAGTCCCTTTCTTTGATGCCTAACTGTTGATTCTGTCCTTGGGCCTTTACCCACTATGTATGTTCTCTACAACTACTCCTATCCTTCAGCCATGGATTCAGATCTCAATTTTAGGTTGATGGCTAATTCTCATTTTTCTTCATACCTCTAAGTGCATAGTGGACACTTCCATCTAGAAGTTCTATAGAAATTTCAAATTTTGCGGGGCGCCTGGGTGGCTCAGTCGTTAAGCGTCTGCCTT